CAAATAGGGCAAAAGGTGGGAATGTTTGGGCAGCCCAGTAAAGTGGCCAAAAAACAAAAATTTTGGAAATTTGGCCGGCCGGGGGGGGGGGGGGGGGGGGGGGGGGCGGACAATAGATCAGGCGGATAGCGTGGTCGACAAAAAAAACGAAACAACAGTCGGGTTCAGTAGCCCAAACGGCCAGTTAGGCCAACAACATCGAAAAAAGGGGCGGGGTGGACGGACAAAGAGGCCAGGCGGGAACTCTTGGCCGTCTTCCGTCAAAAACATGACATTTAAGGCCGTGGTCGTCAAAAAAAATGAAAAACCACAATTCCGTCGAAGTTACAAAAAACCAGCGAGACCGCGATCGTCAAAACTAAAAACGTCAAGGCCGTGGTCGTCAAAAAAAAGGACGCAGTCCTCAAAAATAGAGTCGTGGTCATATAAAAAAAAACGGGAAAACGTCTTCGTCTCACTTGCACGAGGCGCAGTTGAAGCTCTCGCCGTCCGAGGAGAAGGGGTTGATCTTCTCCAGGAAGGTCGGAATCGATGTGTCTACCTCCACCTTCCCCACGGCATCCTTCAGGGGCTTCACCATCTTCGCCATCAGCTGCACGGTCTGCGCATCCCGTGCCTTGGCTGAAAGAATCGGGGATGCGTAAATTCGTTCGATCGTCCAAAAGAACGGGAGGCGGCGCACGAAATAAAATAAATAAAAAACGTTGCCGACGTGTGTACATGTCTGCCTAATACGAGGAGCGGCACCCAACGCGCAAGCCACCCAACTTCATATCCCTCTGCCCCCAGAGGGCAAGTGGTATGTATATCTGTCGACATCGCGCGATCTCCGTTGTTGCGGACCACCAATCTAAGGGCCGTAACTGGAACGCCAACAGGCACCGTCGGGCTCTGATCGTCACCAAAACATCTCGAGCAACAACCACGAGCACACCCGCAGGTGGAACCCCCCCCCCCCCCCCCCCGGCCATGTCGGCCTCCACCCCGAGGCAGAAAGGGTAAGGAAGGAGCCCCCTTTCTTGGCGCGGGCGGCCATCGCGAAACACGGGCCGAAAACACAAGACACAAGTGTAGATCGGAAGGGCGCCCCTTCACAAAGGGGGGCCAGCACACACGCAGAACACATAAGCCCCACTCACAGGTCCCAGACCATGGCCTTCAGAAGCACTGCTGTGTGTTTCCAACCGCACCGAGACTGACGGATCCGGCCGGCTAGCGCGGTCAAAACATGGTAGTATTAAACCACACACTTACTCTTGCTCCCCTAGGGAACCACCACCACCGCCGCCACCACCGCTCACCTGCGGCGGGTCCAAGCTTTCGCTTGCCGGGCCTGGAAGGGTCAAGGGTGACCGCGGCTTCCCTCTTCTCCGCAGCTTTCGCCTGGCCACCACCAAGCAGGAGCCGGCCACCACCAGACAGACAGACAGACAGACAGCGTGCAAACAAACACAAAAACCTGGTTTGACGTTGACATCACGTACACAGCATGGCCGTTCTGACCTCTGATCTCTTTCATCCTGCCCCTGAATTATTCGCGGGAAAATGTTTCCTTGTCACAAGCAACACCGTGACAAGGCCACGAAAACGAACATCCCACCGTAGCAACAAGACCGATTGCGGACGAAGACACCCCGGGATCCCTTGCGCGTGCACGCACCAAAGCAACGCACCAAGAAAGAAATGAGGCCCCCCAAGGCTTACAAGCGCCGAGCCGCCGGCAGATATTGACGGGCATTCAACATCCGTCCGAGGGACTGACGAGAACAGACCTTCTACAAACACCAGATGAATGGGCGCGCCCCCGGCGATTGCTCCATCACCGGACACTCAGGCCCACCCCCGTACAAAGCAGTAGGCGTGTACCCCCCATCGACTACTAATAGGCGAGATAGGCTTCCCCCGCATGATTCTTGCCCATCAGGAAGTAGCGATTCGCGAGTCGTCTACACTGCTGTACATCTCAAGCCGTATCGACCGTCCCCTCCCCGTCATGTGCATTTCGATATCACGCCCCATTCTTCATTCAGGTCACACGGCCAGCACGCCCGCATGACCTCCGCACGCGGCCTTTCAGAACGAGAAATCTAGAAGATCTTGTGCTACGGTGCGACGACAGCAGTACATCGCATCACGTCGTGCCGTCACTGTCCCACACCAACGATAGCACTCGGCAACGCGAAACCCCACCTGTAGCTCGTAGTCCCGTAGTTGTCTGTCCGTGAGCTCCTCCAGCATGGGCGCCAGCGCCATGAGCACACCCAGATCCCCCCGGCCGTCGCCGCCGCCTCTTTCCGGCCCTACCGCCGCCGACTTGCCGCCATCACCACCTCCGCGTTCGTCCGAGTTGCAGTGCTGCACCGCCGAGAGGGCCGCCGCCGCCGCCAGCCTGGCCGCCGCCATCGCCCCCCTCGCCGCAGCAGCAACGGAGGCGGCGGGGGGGGGG